AAACGCAGTGTAGACATACTCACTGCCCTCGATCAAAATATCCTTCCCAACCTAACTACCATTGTGCAGTATATTGTATTCTAGTTGTCCTCGTTGATGCCATTTTTTATGTGTGTGTGTGTGTGTGTGTGTGTGTGTGTGTGTGTGTGTGAGAGAGAGAGAGAGAGAGAAACAATATGAAACACTCTTGATAGCTTCTGTCTTCTCAAAGAGTCTACACTACAAGCTCTACAACGGCACAACTATAGACACTTCCTACAGCAGCAGCAGGAGTTTTTCCTTTCACCTCTTTGAGGGCAGTAGCTAGGTTGATGGAAGAATTCCTCTAGCGGTGTCTACAGCAGGGTACGTAAGTCGTCTTAACAATGACTGTTAAGGGTGTGAATATTTCACAGCCCGGAGTGACAAAGCTAGGTCAATTTAAAGCCATGTCTGCACTATGAATTTACATCGGTATAACTACGTTGCTCACAGGTGTGAAAAATCAACACCTCTGAGCGATGTATTTATAACGACGTAACCCCCTGTGAACACAGCGCTATGTCGACAGGAGGGTTTCTCCTGTCGACATAGCTACCACCTCTTGGAGAGGTCGGCACCTACGCCAGTGGGAGAAGCCCTCCTGTTGGCTTAGGTAGCATCTTCACTGAAGACTTTCCATCATGCTGTAATGTTTAAGTGTAGAACCTCCCTAAGTTTTAGGTGTAGACTAGGCCTAAAGCAGTATTATTATTCCATCCTGAATGGCAGTGGGCCATGCTCTAGATTTTAAGCAGTATATAAGAGAACAGAATTTGGCCTAAACAGCTGAAGAATTAAATGATGAATTTCTATCCATTTTAACAATATCTGGAACAGCATAAAGATATAGGTATAATAGTGGTCTGCTTGCTTTTCCATTTCAATAAATGATGAAGAGATCAGAGGTGGCATGTTAACTTGCTCATTATCCCCATTTTAAAATATTACTCTGTTCTGTAAACATCTGAAATCTGATCACAGGACTTGATTTTATGAGTCGCTGAGTTTCCTCAACTCCCGCTGTCTTCAGTCTGTATTGAGATCTCTTCTCCACTTCCCTTAAAATAAACTGAATATTGATATATGGGAAAGGGCTTGTATTTTTAAATTGTCTGTCTGACTCTCTCACGTGTTAGTAAAAGAAATTAGCCTTTGTCTATACAGACAGGGTTTAAAATATTTACGAAACACTAATTAGCTAAAAGGGTAAGGGAGTATCTACAAAGGTAATTACATTCCAGAATAGCTATTCCTGATTAACTCAGTGTGTGGATGCTCTTATTCTAGATTAGTTTAATCCCTGTAGATTAACTTAATTCAGAATGAGGCTACTCTTATCAGGAATAGCTATTCTGGAATAATAACTCCCTGTGTAGACAAGCCCTGCATCTGTTATTCCTAGGTTAGCACAGAAGATGAGAAGGCAGACTTCCATGAATAATGTGTGCGCACGCGACACACACCCACACCTCCCTTCCAAACCGCTGAGAAGTGGAGGCTTCGGAGATTTCTACTAGGATTCTATTAATGGGTTCTGGTGTGGTTGGGGGTATCTTTCATTTAAATGTCTGGCTATTAAATACTTGATAGAGTTGAAGCCCAATTGCTCCATATTTCTTTTAGAAATGAGAAGCTTTCTTTTTCTCCTTCTGCCTCAATCCTAGAGTCCTTTTGGCTTCTGAGAGAACGTAGGATCTCTATTGTTCGATTCCTTCCCAGATTCTTGGCTCCCGAATGGGGGAATGTGTGTCTGTTACTGGGCCCTTAAACCAAGGCTGCTGCTTTTTTGATTTTTTTCTTCCTCTCTGGATACACCAGTGCTTACATCAGCTGCTGTGGTTCATAGCTTTTCCCAAGCAGTAGCATGAAACTGACATGATTCTTTACATTTGCACAGATGTGCACACCATTCTGAATAGCTCATGAAACTGACTAATTTTGTTAATTTCAACCTATTGCTGCTTGGGAAAGCTGCAACCTGCAGCAGAGACCCTGCAGCTGTCTCCAAACCTAGAAAGTCCAGTAGTGCACCAGTACTGGGTTATATAATAGCATCATATTTTAAATATCTTCTATTTCATTCTTTATGCATCGTAATGTTTTGTTTGCAATTTTGACTGTTTTACATTGAGCAGGTTTTTTTGTTTAACTATTCACAATGATCCCAACAACTTTTGTAAGTTGTTCCAGTTAATTTATAGACCAGCCACATGTGTATGAGTAGTTCAAATTATTCCTTCCAATGTGGAAAACTTGCATTTGTAAACGCTGAGTTTCATCAGCCAGTGTGCTGCCCTTTCACCTACTGTTAAGTTCCTTTGAAGTCTCTCACAGTCTTCTTTAGGTTTGACTACCCTAAATAATTTTGCCACCTGATCTGCAAGCTGGGTGTATGAGGGCAACTCACATGTTTTCACCTAATACTCTGATCGAGCCATATTCTCTGAAATATGAATAGCTACTAATTTGTTGCTCTGCCATATAACATTTGAAATTACATTTACATTTACAGCCTGGAAGAGAGATCTCTCTCATCTTTATGCCCTCTTCATGGAACTTAGGTTTTTCTTTCTTCAAAACATTTTTTGTCTTCAGGCAGATTCTTGTAAAGATTTCTGAAATTAATCCATTGCCTAGTACTCAGTTATGAGCAAAATCTCTCCTGTGGGTTGTACTTTGTAAGTATAGGCCAACACCTATCCCGTGTCAAGCAGGATCACTGGGGGCTGGAGATGGGTCAACATGGGGCATGAATATGCTCTAAGGTTCTCTCCTAGAGCAGCAGGATGGGGTCTTCTCTAGCACTCTCTTGAATGCTATGAGGGGGATCCAGCTAAAGCTCCTGTTGAAGCAACCTGTCCCCAAAAGGTTGTGGTCTGCCAGTTTGGCATGGCCAACTCCACATACATGGTACAATTGGTAGCATGTTGTTGCTTCTTGGGCCACTGTTAAGAAGTGCTCCAGAAAATCATGTCCAGTCTCAGAGTACATTAAGTCAAGGTTAAATGGCTGTATTGGACTGTCATAGTCCTCTGTTCCAGGCTTCAGAGTAGCAGCCGTGTTAGTCTGTATCCGCAAAAAGAAGAACAGGAGTACTTGTGGCACCTTAGAGACTAACAAATTTATTAGAGCATAAGCTTTCGTGGACTACAGCCCACTTCTTCGGATGCATATAGAATGGAACATATATTGAGGAGATATATATACACACATACAGAGAGCATAAACAGGTGGGAGTTGTCTTACCAACTCTGAGAGTTGTTCCATTCTATGTTCCATTCTATATGCATCCGAAGAAGTGGGCTGTAGTCCACGAAAGCTTATGCTCTAATAAATTTGTTAGTCTCTAAGGTGCCACAAGTACTCCTGTTCTTCTTGTTCCAGGCTGCAACTTTTCCCTTTTTAGTTCTTCTTTCTTCATTCTGCTGTTGTTGCTGCTTGTACCTGACTTTGGGTATGTCTATACTAGAAATGCTGCAGCACCACAGCTGCAGCACTGTAGTGTTGCTGCTTACCAAAGCAATGGAAGGGGTTTGTCCATTGGTGTAGTAAGTCCACCTATCCGGGAGGCAATAGCAAGGTCGACAGTTTTCTTCCATCAACCCAGCAGTGTCTATAACCGGAGCTTAAGTCGATTTAATTATATTACACAGTGTCAAATTTTTTACAACCCTGAGCAATGTAGTTAAGCTGTCCTAACTTTGTAGTGTAGACCAGCCCCTTGACTAGCAGTGCAGACAATCTGTTATTTTTTCCAAGTCCTGGTGAACACTGTACTGTAATTGGATCTCCAGGGGACTTTTTTTATTTTCAACTTACTGCTCCCAAAGTCCAAATATGCCACTTCAGAGATGTGCTTAAATTCTATTTAAATTGAGCTCTTTCCAAACCAGGCTTCCACCCAAGTGCCAGATTCCCTTAGGCACATTTTGGGGATCACAGGGACATAAATACACATTAAAAAAGTTGCTCACTTAGGCGTAAAAACATGTTAAATGATTTTTCTCTTTACACAGTTTTTATGCAAATTTTAAAAAGTTCACATTTTAGGTTTGTGAATGTGGTTGTTTTAGAAATATTGTGCAGTAACCTCCATATGATGTGACACAAGGAGTGCTGCCAGAACTGTCATTATGTTTTGAGTGTTTATTATTTGCAATCTTGTATTCAGGGATAACTTACTTAACAGGTCATCGCACTAAATACCTGTAAGTTTCCTCAAGTATAAGTTTAGGCTGCTGTATTTTTACAGTGTTTGTGTTAAATGGATATATGTATTTGTATACGATATGTAGCTATAACCTGTCTTTATGTAGTCATTGCTGTGAATGTTCCATTATTCCTATCTTCCCGTTAATTTTTTTAAATGTGTGAGTGATGTTTTGTATACAATAGATAATGCATGCATTTGTATTGTAGATGCATGGTTATATGTTATACATATTGTGTTATAGGTATACGTGTGTACACACACACACACACACACACACACAGAGTATGTGTATGTAGTGTCAGTGCGGTGAGTTTTCCACTATATTATCTTTTTGGTGGATATGGGATTTTAATAAGGTAGTTCATCTCTTTCCCCTTCTCCCCCATCACTCCTTTCTTTCAATCACCACCATTTAGATTTGCACACACCTTTTGGATACAGTAGAATATGTGAAGTTTTTTTCCCTTGATAGACTAAGGGTTTTTAAGCATAGGAAAAATAAAAAATCTTTATTAACTTGGGTGTTTTCTACATTGTTAACAGAGTTCTGTGGAAAAAAACAAAACTACTGTTATATAACTTTAAATAATATATTTAGTAGTTAAATTGCAAATTTATTTAAAGATTCACTTTAAATTATTGTTTATATTTTATTTATTGTACTTTGCATTCTGTTTGAGGAAAGTCAGATTGATACAAAGCATGACAATTAATAGGAAATCCCCCAGATTATCCTGGTTTAAAAAAAGTTTCCTCTGCTTTGCAGCGAACAACTCTGCGCCTTTTGTTACTGTGGTGAACGAAGCTCATTAGGACAAGGAGAATTAAAACAATTCAGTCCAACGCTAGCGTTTATCATCCCTGGGAAGAACCAGCCTTTAAGTAAGAGTGAAACCAACGACAGCAGCGATGGAGCTTATGAGAGAACTCCAAGGCAAAACTCAGTGCCACGCAAACAAAGGGGACAGAAGAAGTAAGTCTGTTTCATCATAAAAACTTCTGTCATGATTTTGTTGTATTGTTGATTTATTGTAGAGAGGCCAGAAAGCATATATGCAAACATTGTGCAGTGATAAGTGAATAATTTGAAAATTTGAAATTATTTTAAAACCACATGATGCTTAGTATTATTAATCTGTGTTTGAAAAATTGCAAACCATGTCTGAAAAATAGCAATCTTTCTTCTGCTACTTATTGTTAAGGTTTTTTCCCCTAGAAGTGAGAATGTATTCCTTTTTTGGAGAGTACAAAAGTAAGAGACAGACTTACTTTAAAAGTACAAATGTATTTGTACTCTTAAATATCTTAGAGAGAGCATGCAAAAGAACAGAAGAGGAGTAACCAATTAACCAGTTGATTTCTAAACTGTTATGTTTGTGTACATTGGGGAGACAAGACATTTGTGCGTGTCACCTTGTAATCTTTCTTCCTTGGCCCCCTCCAAAAATAATCCTTGTGACTGTGAAAAGCAACGTGCTATGTGAATACAGTATATTCTACTGTGATTAGAACTCTGTTGGTTGTTTTTGTGTATGTCAATGTTCTGTTTTTAATCCATTGAAGTATAGTAGTATCCCAGGTGCCTTTTGCAATACAGCACTTTTTAATAGCTATTTCTGAACAATTACATTCACGTACACATCCCTGTATGGTCCATGCTGAAAGGTTATTGAATATATTTATGGAAATGAAGTTTAAAATACATCCATAACTGCGAATGCAGATTTTTTTAGTATTTGCATAATGGAATAGATTTTTCTTAATATATATTTGGATTTTGTAATTCTGGGTTTTTGCCGTTACCATGGTTAGATGTGTTCTTGTTTCAGAGCTGTCTTGCTAATATGTGGATTCAGTTGTGCTGGCTGATTAGTAGAGGTTTTTGTAGCCTATGGGAAAGTGCAAAATTAATTTAGCTTGGAACAACTAAACAGCTCTGTCCCTTGAGGGTGATGATGTAATCATCCCCAAGTGCCATGCTGGCTAACATCCAAGTTTAAGTACTAAAGCATTGTTGTGTTGGAGTTTTCTGATTGGTTGCTAGCTTTGGACTGCTGCCAATACAGTGAAGAAGTGAAGTAGGAAATGAAACAATAACAAAGAGAGGCAGCCTTTTAAAAGGATTTAAGGTGGTACATTTTAAGGAATCCTGAATTATCAAGGCATATGTAGCATTAAAAGTACTGTAGACATTTTAAATTTAAATTCATATTCAGATTAGGTTTATTCAGTTTAGATAAATTTTAGTTTAATAGCCCTTTATTAAGTATGAATGCTGAATCTCTATATAAAGCTGGCGGTGATTTTATTCATTTGATATTAAGGAACTATAAACACAAATTTAAAAAAAACAGGTACTCAGATTTCCTTATTATAAAATCTGATATGAATGTGTAATTCTTTTTTAGACAGTAATTCAGTTAACAGGAGCCTATGTTAATAGTATCTGGCTTGACTGCATCTAGGGGTACTTGCCCTTTTGGGGTAGAATGGGTTAATTTAATACATCAGTTCATAAGGCAACTATTTTGTTCATAGTAATAGGTTTTAGTCTTGAAGGTTTTGATTTCTGATGTTGCACACTTTTTTTTTGTTATGACATAAGTCATTAGGATATAACTTAGTGCCAAGGATTGAAAACTTCACCCACTCACCAATAATGAGAGAGAAGCTTTTCTTGACAGATGTGGGGGGGAGTGGTCTTAACCATCAATTTTTGCACAGCTTAAGCTTTCACTTACATTCCCCCCGTCTCCTTGCCCTTATGTTTCTGAAGGTAACTTTCGAAATAAGCCAAATGTAAAATGAGAGAATTTTTTACTCTAAGTCAGCACACAGCTCTGTTGCCTGCTGTAGCTCATAGCTTTACCAAGCAATAAGGTAAAATTAACATAAATTTGGTCAGGTTCACTGTTCTTTTTCAGAAGGGTATAAGCATCATGAAACTGTCAAGAACTATAGCAGTTTCATGCTGCTGCCACTGTCGACATCTATGAACAGCCACGGAGGCATATGCTTGATTTATTAATGAATAGGGGACTTCCAAATTCACGGCCATGAAAAACACGTCACAGACTGTGAAATCAGAGTTCCCCAGTGAAATCTAGCTATTGGAGGGGCGGAACAGGGCAGGCCTGGGGGCACCCCAGCTGGGGGCTCCTACCATTCATTGGGATCCAGCTTAATTGCAGAGTTACCTACCCACATTCATTGGGATCCAGCTGTTAGTCTGCCAGGCTGGAGAGGGACGGGACTTCTCCTGCGTGGCTGCTCTTGTGGGGAGATCAGACTGAAGGCAGCAGCCACAGAGCTTCCTGCAGTTCAAAGAGATTCCCAGAGGTGGAGGTGGGTCTGATCTCCCCCATGCTGCTGAGAGTGCCCCAGCTGGGGACTGCTAGTCCCCTCGGGGCTGGGGTGGGACAGGACTTCCTCTTCCCTTGCACGGCCACTCTCGGGAGATCAGACCCACCTACCTCTGGGAACCTCCCCCAGCTGCAGGAAGCTCTGTGGCTGCTGACAGCTCTGAAGATTCCCAGCAGCACGGGTGAGGTCAGAGCCATCTCTGGGAATCTCCCCCAGCTGCAGAAAGCTCCGCAGCTGCTGTGAAGTAAGGGTGGAAATCCTGCAACTCCCTATATCAGCTTTGTGACCCCCCCCACAACCCACTTTTCGGTCGGGACCCCTATGATTACAACACCATGGAATTTCAGATGTAAACATCTGAAAATGTGAAAGTGGCCAATTTTAAAACCCTCTGGTTGTGATATTGATCAAAATGGACTGGGAATTTGGTAGGGCCCTAATGAAGAAGGAACCAATAAAAGATTGAGACGACCCAAATTTCAGCACCCCCCTCCATGGCAACCACTATGGTAGCTGAGGGGACTAGACATCTCAGTAAGGCTTAGTGCAGTGCTTTAAAAATCCAAGGCAGAAACTTTATTTTTAAGTGGGGTTGAGGGAGTCAGGTTTCTCTGGTTAATGGGTTAGTGAGTCTGATGTTTAGTGGATAATTTTTTGGTAAGTTGGGTTAAAAAGCCAGAAAGAAGGATACCCTGTGCTCAAATAGTATACTGTGTTGTTTGTGGGTTTTTTTTAAACAGGTTTGATAGATTCTTCCATTTCATCATAATCTAGTGCTTTTTGTGTCATTAAATTCTCCTTTTCTACCCTCTTTCTCTTACACTTTGCTATTTTGTGAATTTCGGTTGTGTGGGACAAAGACATCTGCTGCCATATAACCTTCTCCCTTCTTGGCCTTTTTCACCCTTCCCCCATACACACTAGCTGTCTGCTATCCTAGCAGCTTACCACTGTCTGGTAGGGCAGAGTCTCCTTTGAGAATATTGTCAATGCTATACCACAGACCAGCTGTCGAGGTTGCAGAGAGGAAACCATAAGAAAGCTGCAGCTGACACCCTCTGTTTATACCACCTCCCTCTCTTTGTTCCAGGTTTTCCCATTTCCCCAGAGAAATATCCCTTCTTTGCCTGGATCTATATCTGCCTGTACTTACCTAACAATTCTCTTCTGGAGATGAAGCAAGTCAAATAAAAAATGCAGTTTGAAAAATTTTAGTATGTATATCCTGAACAATGAGACGGTCAGACTGGACAAAGGGCCATTTAACACAGTCATTTTTTGTGGTGCATATGACTTTTAACTGAAAGCATTGTTCTTCATTTTCTCCTACTGATATAAATACTGTGTCAAAATTCAAGAAACTGGGCTATTCTCCCCCCCCCCCTTTTTTTTCTTTGATGTATATTTTATCACACGTAGGAAAGCTCATTTGAGGCATTCTGGTTTTTTTAGATCATTTAAAAATCACGTAGCTAATTGAGTTATAAACTTAGACTGTTTTAATTGCAGAGTTACCTACCCACATTTTTTCTCTCCTTCTCTACAGAGAGAGACCTCGACAGAGTATAGCATCATGTACAAGTGTAAGCACTCAAACTGCTTCTGATGATCAGGTTGTCAAATTCTGGGATGAACTCAGTTTAGTTGGCTTACCAGATGACATTGATGTCCAAGCCTTATTTGAGCCAACAGGTGGGTATATGTTCAGCTATTAATAGTAGGTGGTACGTATTTATAATGGTTTAACTGGAATTCATATTAAACTTTTGTTTAAATAATTCTTTAGTTTGGTATAGTGATTGCCTCTTTGGGGGGAGTGAGGAGCAAAGGAGAAAGAAACAGAGATAATACTTCAGAGTTTAAACTGTCATTTTATTCAACTCCTAAAGGCCCAGTCCTACAAAGTCTCCTTCTCATGTGGCTTCACTGGGGCTATCTGAACAAATAACAATTAGTCATGAGAGGAAGGGCTTTCAAGATCAGGTCCTAAGTTTGTAATATACATTTTTAACTTTAATGTTTCATTTAGGTGTCTGTCAGAAAAATCAAGAAGCATTGGGCTATTTTCTCAGAACATTTTGGTTCAAATGTTGCCCTACCAGCAATCTACACCATATGCTTATGTATAGGGCCCTATCAAATTCATGGCCATGGAAAACGTGTCACGGACAGTGAAATCTGGTCTCCTGTGAAATCCGGTCTTTCGTGTGCTTTTACTCTATACTCTACAGATTTCATGGGGGAGACCAGCATTTCTCAAATTGGGGGTCCTGACCCAAAAGGGAGAATTTCAGGGGGGTTGCAAGGTTATTTTAGTGGGGGTCACAGTATTGCCACCCTTACTTCTGCACTGCCTTCAGAGCTGGGTGTCTGGAGAGTGGCGGTTGCTGAATGAAGAACCAGCTCTGCAAGCAGCAGCACAGAAGTAAGGGTGGCAATACTATCCTCTAGCCGATCAAAGCAAGTTCGATATAACGCGGTTTCACCTATAACGCGGTAAGATTGTTTGGCTCCCGAGGACAGCGTTCTATTGGGATAGTGGTGTATTATCTCTGTACTGAGCTTAGTAGTAGTGTCACTTTTTTCCCAAATTCTCTGAAAATTGGTTTCAAAATTTGATTGCAAAGAAACCTCTTTTAAATGAATTTAAAAAAAAAATTAGTGTGGAGTCTGGTTGCCTGATGTCGAATAAATTTTAATTCTTCCAAGTCATCACTATTGGAAAATGCTTACAATTATTTCTTTCTATTTACTTTCAGTCCCTTTTTTGTGTTACTAAATGCAGAGTTGCAATATACAGTTTATATGCTTAATAGCAAATTCCAAGAGGTACATACCATGAGTCTTATATGGTATGTCAGCATAGAATACCTTCAGCTGAAGCGAGAAATATTAGCAGTTTGTCATTATACCATATCCTTATGGTTTTCATTCTTTTGCCAGCAGCTGAACTGAAAGCCATTTTAACAGGTACTTTGAGTCCTGGAAGTTCTATTTTTGTAGTCTAAGTTTCCCAATATGAGTACAGCAGGCTCTTAATTGTGAGTGTCTCTGTATAATGACAGCTCACTATTGTAATCACAGTGTTTTTACAAAACAATTTATGTACCAGCCCTGTGCTTGGCACCTTGTGATCTTTTTAAAATTATTATTTGTTTACGGTAGCACTCACAATGTGCTTGGTGCTTTCCCAACAGACAAAAGGAATTGATCCTGTCCCAAGGAGTTCAAAGGCTAAGGACAAATATACAGACAAACAGTTAAATAAGTGAGGGGCAAACAGAAGTTAACTTTGAGCGTATATGTACACACAGACATGTCACAGGTGTATTTGTATATTTTGGGGTACAAAAACTAGAAGCTGAAAGGTATATAAATGTGTGAAAACATCTGGGTTTTTTTATATATAATAAAAACTGCAGTATGTAGGGAAATCATTGATTCCTTCCTCCCCCTACTCTTCCTGTTTCAGTAAAAGACTATTGTCCTAATTCTGCAAGCACTTACCACTAAAATTAAGCTCTGTATTCTCTAGTAAGGATTGCAAGATCAGGTCTGTTTTTTTTGTTTGTTTTTAAGGTTTTTCCTTTGATGCTTATTTTGAAACTCAACTGCTGCTTGGCAAAGTTGTAAAATTGTGCAATTCTTTCTCAATGATAATGCATTAGGTCACTGCTGGGCTCATCACCGCTGTGCAGAGTGGTCATTGGGAGTATGCCAGACTGAAGAGCAGCTATCAGTGAACGTGGACAAAGCTGTTGTCTCAGGGAGCACAGAAGTGAGTAGAAAAAAAAGAACATTTCCCCCAAGACTGTAAAATAAAAAAATAATAAATTTCAAATAAGAGTACAAAATGTCACTTACTGAAAATACCAACTCCTAGAGCTTCGTTCTGCCTCCTACATTCACAGTAATGCTTTACTGTACAAGTAATCCGATTGTAATCTACAGTTGATTTCAGTGGGAAGACTTGTGGAGTATCAAGTACTACTCAGCTTGAGTTTTCATGGCAGAATCAGTTCCGTGGTTATTAGAAGCTGGCAAGGGGTTCACAGGAAAAAAAATACACGTGTTCAAATTAGCAAATGCCTTTTTCATCAACACTAATATTCATCCTAGCCTTACAAGTGTATATAATCGGAGTGCAGTTAATATGGTGTCGATATACCCAAATATTCCTTTAAAAATTGCAATATAGGCGTCCATGTTCTAGGACCCTGCAAGATGGGAGGGTCCCAGAGCTCAGGCTGCAGCCCAACCCTGAACGTCTATACTGCAATAAAACAGCCCTGCAGCCTAAGCCCAAGTCAGCTGGCATGGGCCAGCCATGGGTGTCCAATTGCGGTGTAGACATACCCTGAGGCAATCTAGCTGTAGGGGGGAACAGGTGCAGAAGTGTCTCCCAAGTGCTTGCAGGTTGCTTAGCAATTAGAGTGTGTTGTGTGACTATGATATCCACATGATAAATTGCATTTATCATGCACCTTTTAGGAAGTCAGCTGCATTCTGTCCACCAGGTCATCTGCACTAGGGCTATTTCTAACACTCAACTCCTGAACAGCATTCAGACAACTGCCATTAGGGACAAATAAATAAACCAAAACTAAACTCAGCCATAAAAATGTTTTATCCAACAAATATACAAATTCCACCACAAAATTAAAATGGTGAAAGGGCAAAGATGGGGAAATATTCAACTTTAGACCCATGATTGATTTAAATAGTTATTTTTGATGAACCATTAGGGCTACATCTTAGTGCATTATACCATCTGAAAACCAGGAATCACTTCTGTATCAGTTGATCCAGATCCAGCTCTAGTAGACTGCAATATGTTGGACCTTAAATTTGTGTGACTTCATGTGTAGAAAAATTTATTTTAGAAGTTTCTGACATATTCATAATAACCTTTTTCTCCTTCAGAGACCTGTACTGTTGCAGTCAGGGTACTTAGGCAGCCTGCCTTCCAAGAGGAAAGGATAGGTAAAGCAGTCCTCATAAATACAGTGGCCCAGGTCGCCTTGAGGCTAAACTGAGGCCCTAGAGGCCCTGCGTTAAGATTAGTGTTTGGTTAAGAACTGAAAATGTTTCCCTGAACTGCGTGCTGTGGTTTTTAACCTGAAACATTTGGTTTGCATCTGCCACTGTGGGGGGTGGAAGTAGGGAGCACTACTTCCCATGCAGCCGTGGGAGCAGCTCTGCAACAAGTACTGAGCAGCTCCCTCATGGCTGCCTGCTGCTGTGCAGGAAGGAGAGGAGATAGTAGTTCTGGCTGCTTCATTGCCTGCTTCCCTGCCAGGTTGTGAGATTCTTGGAGAAAGCAGGATGAGAGCTCAACTGGCTCCACCTGAGTCTAGGAGCCTGTCTAGCAAAGATGGGTCCCCGCCCTCACCTGGCCACTCAGCTTAGCCTGGGAGAAGTCGTGAAAAAAAGGAGAAGCAGACAGAACAACCAATTAGTTATTGTTCCCAGATTCTTTGCACCAGCCATAGGTTAGAGTAGCTTGGAGGCTGCTCTAAGTTGTACTAACTGTTTATGATTGACAGGATGTCCTAGGTCAGCTGGTTATAGCTGGAGTACTGTGTGTTACAGCCACTTCCTCTGCCCACCCTCAGCACATCCCTCTGCACCAGTGACTGCAGCAAGGGAAACGTTGGAGCTGGTTATGCCAGCGCTGTACCCACATTAGGGAATCCAGCAGGGGACCTGTGGGTGATTTCCACTGTCATTGCCACCTGAGCAATGCAAAGGGAAGAACAAGGCAGAGACTCTGTCCTGGAGTATTGACAGTAATGTTTGGCTCTCAAACTGAAAAGGTTTACATTACCTGCAATAATGTATTATTATATAACAATGGACAATATAATAATCTTCCAAAATACTTCTATATACATGCGTAGTATTATGTAATACATTTTGGCAGCTGTTCATTTGATATATCTTTGTATTTACAGCTGTTGCATTGTGCGTACTTCAAATTTTGCTTTTCTGGTGTTATCCTCCTTTAGTTTTTTGTGTTCTAATGCTATAAATGTTCTGGATGCTGCTGGCAATACAGGTGTGAGTATGTGGTTAGGTTTATTTAGATGGTTTTCCATAAAACAATTTGTAGGTTGTTTCTTTAACGGGCCATCAAACTTGCTCTTATTTTTTCCTTGGCAGTCCCCCTGGCATTACATGAGTTTATGATGTGGTCTACTGCAGTAACATCTTTGCCCAACTGGGAAGGTGTTTTCTCCATTCCTTTCGTTACTTGTGCAGATTAGTTCTGACATGCAAAGAATGTTTTTTGTTAGCAAGATTGTGGGTTTTTTTATTCTCTATTTTGCTGGGAACATCTTGTAGGTTTTCTTACCTTAAGGGTCTTTTTAATTTGGAATTTGCATTATTGTTTCTCAGTACTTGAGATATCTGTTTCTGATTGTCTTTTAACTGGATTTGACAGTGTTTCTTATTACTCTGTTTACAAGTTGAGATGTCCATTTGGCTTCATTGAACTTGTGATTGCATTAATAAAGCTTATGTGAGCATATTTTCACTGACCTGTTTCAAAATGTGTGTGTAAATCATTTTCTGTTTCCACTTGGCCCTTACTTTCTGCTGGGTGAAAACTTTTAAGTGTAATCCACACCTCCGTCCAAGGCTTTCAATGTCTCTGCATGTTTCACAAAATGTTCTGCTTTTATTTTCTCTTCTGTGATCCACCCCTTTGTTTCACTGGTTTTGAAGGCATTAGAATTTATTTGTTCAGACGTATGACAAATTCATTTCTTGTATTTTTTTGCCTAGTTCTGTGTTAGTTGCTTTGACTTTGTTACCCAGCCTCCATTCTGTCTCTGATTATTGTTGATATATCCATGATGTCTTGTTTTTTCATGGCTTAGGGTTAGAGTTATTTTATTTCATAGCAGACAAGTAAATGACCAAATAGACCATTATATGTTTGGTAATGTATGTGCCCTGGCACTTAATGCGTAGTCTAGCTGAGTCCTTTTACCCCTTTTGTTCATCTTACCCACCTGAGTCAAAGAAAGAGTTTCTCAAGACCACTCTTCAGATTAAACAGTTGCATGTCCATGGGGCTCCAAGATCATTCTTTTAGGTTCAATATGATGTAAACTCCAGAGAGATACATTCCAGCTCTTACATTTCGGATGTCTTTTTTGAAAAGGCTTTTGGCATAAAATCCAGTCTTGCTTGTATATTTGGATCACCATATTTTTCTTAAAACTTTGTATATATAGTTTCCAGTTATTTCATTGAATGCAAAATATAACTAAACCACTAATATTTGTTCCTTAAAATGCTCTATACAGTATATGAAAATAAGGGCTGAAATAATGAAGCAAAGAAGTAGCCACATTGTTAATTTGATAGAAGACTAGAAGATCAGACTTTAGCCAGAGACACAGAGTAGAGCAAGAGATTTTCACAAGTCTTTTTAGGTGAGAAATGAAAGTCCAGTATTATGTGGCTGTACCTACTAAACTAAACCAAACAAAACTATTAAAAAAGATACAGAGCTTTAAAAGGTGAGAAAGAGAAGTATCCTGCTTTTGTCTGTACCTCTGGCTCCAGTCTTTTGCATCTCTAACTGCATCCTTGATCATGCTGTCTTGATACTTGGTACCTTGATACAGGGTGCATTTCCAATTTTAATTCTAATTAAATTGGGGGCCCCCAGGGATTACAGCTGTTGAGTTTTTAACAAAGATTATTTTGAAACATTTTAAAGTATTTTAAACACTGCTTTGTAATTTCCATGTTTAATTTACATATTTTGATGAGATGAGTGTTTTCCTGTGTTCTGCTAAGGCAGTGTAAAAATTGCTGCTTGTTTGCATTAAATGGCTCAATTCAGGACATGTTACCAGTGTAGAAGGATACGGGCTAATGTCACCACAGTCAGGAACTGCTGTCAAATAGTTCCATTAAAAATGGCCAATTCTCCTTCTCTGCTTTCTTCTGGAAAAGGGGAAGGCTTCACTCCTGAGTATGGCACTCCCCCTCTTCTTGTTCTTTTTATTTAATACTGTAGTTGTGTATGGAATTTCATAGTAAATAAAATGACACAATCCATATCCAGAGGAGCTTGCATTCTAGATTAAAGCAATATACGTCAAAAAGTATAGTGGAGAATGTTGGGAAAGGTCTAGGGAAGGATTGGGTGGACACACTGTTAATAAGACACACGAATAGCGTTTGGTGGCGGTTTAGCAAGTTGTATGTTAGTTATGTTGAAATAAGGGTGTCTATTTTTTAACATCACTTTTTTTGTTCTTGTTGATCTTAGCAGGACTTAACGGCATTTGAATTGCTGCCTTTACACACACCACACAATAAAGAAGTTGCTGTAGCGGTAACTTTCCCAACCACCCTTCTCTTCTGATAGCACTTAGACAGCAGCCTATAAAGCTAGGAGAGCTCACTCATCTGGAGCACAGAGGCTGAAGAAAAGTGGTACTGAAGGAAATCAAGAGGGCATGTGTTTGTATCTCCTGAAATGCGAGTAGGTAGGAAGTCATTTAAATGGGATGCGTGAAACAGTCCTCCCAATCCACTGTCTCACCTTTTCCACTGTCTTCAATTCAAATTCACTGTATCTCATTGGTCACAGAGGACATGTACAGCTCTGCCACTCCCTGTTTATCCAGTTTTGTCTTTTACTGTGTTATCCTCTATCCCTCCATTCCACCAGTGATGACAGCCTTGTCTGCCCACTTGTGTACTGCTCTTACAATTGTCTTCAAACCTTCTTCCATGCTACCACTGTGCATG